CTATAACTGCAGCTCCTAAAGGCTCAATGTTAGAAGTTCATTCATTTGCTGGGCACAGTGGTGCATGCCTGTAATGTCAGTGACTTGGGAGGCAGAGGCAGAGGCAGGAAGATTGCAAGTTTGAGGCAAACCTCAGCAGCTTTAGCAAGCCTAAGCAACTTAACAAGATGCGTCTCAAAATTAAAAAGTTTTTTTTTTTTTGAGAGAGAATTTTTAAATATTTATTTATTTTTTGTTTTCCGGGGACACAACATCTTTGTATGTGGTGCTGAGGATCGAACCCCGGGCCGCATGCATGGCCAGGCGACCGCGCTACCGCTTGAGCCACATCCCCAGCCCCAAAAATAAAAAATTAAAAGGGCTGGGAATGTGGATCGGTGGTTAAGTGCTCCTGGGTTAAATTTCCTGGATCAAAAAGAGTTCATTCATATGATTCCTGTGATAATCACATGACATAGGAAACCTTATTCCCATTTTTTTGATCTTGGTTGTAGTTATATGTAGTTAAATGCTCTATCACTTTGTGATTGCTTCACTTGTGATTTATTAACTTTTCTGTATTCTAGTTGGCCTGGAGGTACATACCTCCAGGAGGCTGAGGCAGGCAAGACCAATCTCAGCAACTATTTCAAAATAAAAAATAAAAAGAGCTGAGACTTAGCTTAGTGGTGAAGCACCCCTGGGTTCAATCCCCAGTACCAAAAAAGAAACAAAAATAAAAAATAAAATGTTTTCTGTATTCTGTATGTTGTACTTAATGTTGTTACTCTCTTCTCCCTACCAAATTTTACTTTTGTTTTAGAGTAAGTCCAGTTTAGTAGATTAGTGTTCAAGAATTAAATTTGTTGTAAAAAGACTTGAACTTGAGGCATTGGGGATGTGCCTCAGTACTGGAACACTTGCCTAATAGCATCTTCTAGACCCCAGGTTTAGTCTGCAGTACTATCGAAAACAAAAAAACAAAATAAAAAAACTCCCTTGACTCCAATATTTACTACTTGACATTCAACAAATTAATATAACCTCTTTGAATTTCAGTTTTCTTATCAGGAAAATGGAAGCATTATGATAATTTGCTCCTCCATATGGTTTTAAATTTTTTTTAAAAAACTTATTTTTTAGTTGTAGTTGGACACAATACCTTT